AAGAATAAATATCCGCTTCCCAGGATCGATGATTTATTTGATCAGTTGAGGGGTGCCTGTGTGTTTTCCAAGATTGATTTGCGTTCAGGCTCAGCTGAAAATCAAGGAATCAGACATACCCAAGACAGCTTTTCGTACCAGATACGGTCACTTCGAGTTAGTGGTTATGCCGTTCGGCCTCAGTAATGCACCGGCAGTATTCATGGACTTGATGAACCGTGTATTTCATCCTTTTCTCGACCAGTTCGTTATTGTCTTTATCGATGATATCCTTATTTATTCCAAGAGCCAGAAGGAACACGAGGAGCATCTGAGGGCCGTTCTTTCGACCCTTAGACGTGAGAAGTTATATGCAAAGTTCTCCAAGTGCGAATTTTAGCATCAGCGAGTGGCTTTTCTTGGCCACATTATTACTTCAGCAGGTATTGAAGTTGATCCTTCCAAAATTGCTGCAGTTCAGAATTGGTCAGCACCCAAGAATCCGTCCGAGGTCCGTAGTTTCCTCAGCCTTGCAGGTTATTATCGCAGATTTATTGAGGGGTTTTCGAAAATTGCCCTCCCCCTGTCTCAATTGACGAGGAAGTCTGTAAAGTTCAAATGGACAGACCGTTGTGAGTCGACTTTTCAGGAGCTGAAAAGGAGGCTTACGACAGCACCGGTGTTGACTATTCCAGATCCTTCTCGGAGCTTCACCATCTATAGTGATTCTTCGAGGCAAGGTTTAGGATGTGTACTTATGCAACATGGCCAGGTCGTTGCTTATGCTTCACGCCAACTTAAACCACATGAACAAAATTACCCGACGCACGACTTGGAATTAGCTGCAGTTGTTCATGCCCTCAAGATTTGGCGACACTATCTATACGGCGGTCAATGCAAAATTTTCACCGATCATAAAAGCTTACAATATATCTTTACTCAGAAGGAACTTATTATGAGACAGCGCCGTTGGTTAAAGCTTGTCAAGGATTACGATTGTATGATCCAATACCATCCGGGGAAGGCGAATGTAGTTGCTGATGCCCTAAGCCGCAAGGTAAAGGGTAATTTGACTTACGTTGTTACTCAGCAGAGTCAATTGATTCATGAGTTCGCCCGGATGCAGGTTCAGATGATTGATGCACTTCCTACAGTCAGTACGGGGAGTGTGAGTTCTATGCAGGTTCAGCCGATGCTGAGGGAAAGAATCCGACAAGAGCAGGCTTCAGATAAGTTTATTCGTGCGATTGATGCCAAGGTTCGCGCCGGAGGCGTTGAGGGTTTTCGCCGAGGCACAGATGGGGCCTTGGAGTTTCGTGGCAAGATTGTGGTGCCGAAGGTCGAGGCATTGAGAAAGGAGATTTTATCTGAGGCTCATACCGCACCATACCTAGCCCATCCAGGAAGTACAAAGATGTATCATGACCTGAAACGGTCGTTTTGGTGGCGAGGATTGAAGAAAGACATAGCCGACTTTGTAAGAAGATGTTTAACCTGTCAACAAGTCAAAGTCGAGCCAAGAGTCCCATAGGCCTTCTGCGACCACTGTCGATTCCGAGGTGGAAGTCGGAGGAGGTTGCCATGGATTTTGTCACGGGGTTGCCGAGGTCGTCTGAACATCACGACGCTATCTGGGTCGTGGTCGACAGATTGACTAAGGTTGCTCATTTCTTGCCAGTATCGATGAGTATGTCTTTAGATAG